TTATTTACTATTCTTTCAAAATAGGATCAAAGTAAATTTTCTGAATGAGAGTCTGCCAACTCGAGTCCTTTTTCTTAGAAAGAATAATCATAAATCATAACTGTGCCTGTGATATTTGTGACTTTCAGTCTCATTTTTTTTTGTTTTTGTCTTTGTTTTTTTTCGTTTCACAATGTTAATTCTTCCAAGAACATGGTATATCTCTCCATTTATTTGTATCATCTTTAATTTTTTTCATCAGTGTCTTATAATTTTCTGCATACAGGTCTTTTGTCTCCTAAGGTGCGTTTAATCCTCGATATTTTATTCTTTTTGTTGCAATGATAAATGGGAGTGGTTTCTTAATTTCACTTTCAGAATTTTCATCATTAGTGTATAGGAATGCCAGAGATTTCTGTGCATTAATTTTGTATCCTGCTAGTTTACCAAATTCATTGTTTAGCTCTAGTAGTTTTCTGGCACCATCTTTAGGATTCTCTATGTATAGTATCATGTCATCTGCAAACAGTGAAATCTTTACTTCTTCTTTTCTGATTTGGATTCCTTTTATTTCTTTTTTTTCTCTGATTGCTGTGGCTAAAACTTGCAAAGCTCTGTTGAATAATAGTGATGCGAGTGGGCAAGCTTGTCTTGTTCCTGACCTTAGTGTAAATGGTTTCATCTTTTCACAATTGATATCAATGTTGGCTGCGGGTTTGTCATACCTGGCCTTTATTTTGTTGAGGTGAGTTCCCTCTATGCCTACTTTCTGCAGGGTTTTAATCATAAATGGGTGTTGAATTTTATCAAAAGATTTCTCTGCATCTATTGAGCTGATCATATGGTTTTTCTCCTTCAATTTGTTAATATGGTGTATCACATTGATTTGCCTATATTGAAGAATGCTTGCTTTCCTGGGATAAACCTCACTTGATCATGGTGTATGATCCTTTTAATGTGCTGTTGGATTTTGTTTGCTAGTGTTTTGTTGAGGATTTTTGAATCTATGTTCATCAGTGATATTGGCCTGTAGTTTTCTTTCCTTGTGACATCTTTGTCTGGTTTTGGTATCAGGGTGATGGTGGCATCGTAGATTGTGTTTGGGAGTGTTCCTCCCACTGCTATATTTTGGAAGAGTTTGAGAAGGATAGGTGTTAGCTCTTCTCTAAATCTTTGATAGAATTCACCTGTGAAGGTGTCTGGTCCTGGGCTTTCTGTTGGAAGATTTTTAATCACAGTTTCAATTTCAGTGCCTGTGATTGGTCTGTTCATATTTTCTATTTCTTCCTCATTCAGTCTCAGAAGGTTGTTCATTTCTGAGAATTTGTCCGTCTCTTCCAGGTTGCCCATTATATTGGCATAGAGTTGCTTGTAGTAATCTCTCATGATCCTTTGTATTTCTGCAGTGTCAGTTGTTACTTCTCCTTTTTCATTTGTAATTCTATTGATTTGAGTCTTCTCTCTTTTTTTCTTGATGAGTCTGGTTAATGATTTATCAATTTTTTTATCTTCTCAAAGAACCAGCTTTTAGTTTTATTGATCTTTGCTATGGTTTCCTTCATTTCTTTTTCATTTATTTCTGATCTGATCTTTATGTTTTCTTTCCTTCTGTTCACTTTGGGGTTATTTTGTTGTTCTTTTTCTAATTGCTTTAGATGTAAGGTTTGGTTTTTTATTTGAGATGTTTCTTGTTTCTTAAAGTAGGATTGTATCACTATAAACTTCCCTCTAGAACTGCTTTTGCTGCATCCCATAGGTTATGGGTCATCATGTTTTCATTGTCATTTGTTTCTAGGTATTTTTTTTTCATTTCCTCTTTGATTTCTTCAGGGATGTCTTGGTTATTAAGTATTGTACTGTTTAACCTCCATGTGTTTTTACTTTTTACAGATTTTTTTCCTGTAATTGATATCTAGTCTCATAGCATTGTGGTCGGAAAAGACAGTTGATATAATTTCAATTTTCTGGAATTTAGCAAGACTTTGTTTGTGACCCAAGATATGATCTATCCTGGAGAATGTTCCATGAGCACTTGAGAAGAATGTGTATTCTGTTGTTTTTGGATAGAATGTCGTATAAATATCAATTAAGTCCATCTTGTTTAATGTATCATTTAAAGCTTGTGTGTCCTTATTTATTTTCATTTTGGATGATCTGTCCATTGCTGAAAATGGGGTGTTAATCCCCTACTCTGATTGTGCTACTGCTGATGTCCCCTTTTATGGCTGTTTGTATTTGCATTATGTATTGAGGTGCTCCTATGCTGGGCACATATATATTTAAAATTTTGTATATTCTCTTGGATTGATCCCTTGATCATTATGTAGTGTCCTTCTTTGTCTCTTGTAATAGTCTTTGTTTTAAAGTCTATTTTGTCTGATATGAGAATTGCTACTCCCGCTTTATTTGATTTCCATTTGCATGAAATATATTTCTCCATCCCCTCACTTTCAGTCTGTATGTGTTCCTAGGTCTGACGTGTCTCTTGTAGACAGCATGTATACAGGTCTTGTTTTTCTATCCATTCAGCGAGTCTATGGCTTTTGCTTGGAGCATTTAACCCATTTACATTTAAGGTAATTATCAATATGTATGTTCCTATTACCATTTTATTAATTGTTTTAAGTTTGTTATTGTAGGTCTTTTCCTTCTCTTGTGTTTCCAGCCTAGAGAAGTTCCTTTAGCATTTGTTGTAAAGCTCGTTTGGTGGTGCTGAATTCTCTTAGCTTTTGCTTGTCTTTAAAGGTTTTAATTTCTCCGTCAAATCTGAATGAGATCCTTGCTGGATAGAGTAATCTTGGTTGTAGGTTATTCCCCTTCATCACTTTAAATATGTCCTGCCACTCCCTTCTGGATTGCAGAATTTCTGCTGAAAGTTCAGCTAGTAACCTTATGGGGATTCCCTTGTATGTTATTTGTTGTTTTTCCCTTGCTGCTTTTAATAGATTTTCTTTGTGTTTAGTTTTTGATATTTTGATTAATATGTGTCTTGGTGTGTTTCTCCTTCGATTTATCCTGTATGGGACTCTCTGTCCTTCCTGGACTTGATTAACTATTTCCTTTCCCATATTAGGGAAGTTTTCAACTATAATCTCTTCAAATATTTTCTCAGCCCCTTTCTTTGTCTCTTCTTCTTCTGCGACCCCTATAGTTTGATTGTTAGTGAGTTCAATGTTGGCCCAGAGATCTCTAAGACTGTCCACAATTCTTTTCATTCTTTTTTCTTTATTCTGCTGTGCAGTAATTATTTCTCCTTTTTTCTTCCAGGTCACTTATCTGTTCTGCCTCAGTTATTCTGCTACTGGTGTCTTCTAGAGAATTTTTAATTTCATTTATTGTGTTGTTCATCACTGTTTGTTTGTTCTTTAGTTCTTCTAGGTCCTTATTAAATGTTTCTTGTATTTTCTCCATTCTATTTCCAAGATTTTAGATCATCTTTACTATCATTATTCTGAATTCTTTTTCAGATGTCTGGTCTCAGTGGCTTCGGTTGGTTCAGTGGATTGTGTAGGCTTCCTGGTCGTGGGGACTAGTGCCTGTGTTCGGGTGGATGAGGCTGGATCTTATCTTTCTGTTGGGAAGGTCCACGTCTGGTGGTGTGTTTTGGGGTGTCTGTGGCCTTATTATGATTTTAGGCAGCCTCTCTGCTAATGGGTGGCATTGTGCTTCTTTCTTGTTAGTTGTTTGGCATACGGTGTACACCACTGGAGCTTGCTGGTCTTTGAGTGGAGCTGGGTCTTGGCATTGAGATGGAGATCTCTGGGAGATTTTTGGCATTTGATATTCCATGGAGATGGGAGGTCTCTTGTGGACCAGTGTCCTGAATTTTATTCTCCCACCTCAGAGGCAAAGCCCTGATACTTGGCTGGAGCACCAAGAGCCTCTCATCCACACAGCTTAGATAAAAGGGAGATAACAGTGAAAGAAAGAAAGAAGATAAAATTTTTTAAAAAAGTTCTTAAAGTAAAAATAATTCTTAAAAAAAAAATTAAAGTAATAAAAAAAAAGAAAGAAAGAAGAGAGCAACTACACCAAAAAACAAACCCACCAATGGTAACAATCGCTAAAAACTATACAGAAAAAAAAAAAGAAAGAAAGAAAATGGACAGACAGAACCCTAAGACAAATGGTAAAAGCAAAGCTATACAGACAAAATCACAAATAGAAGCATACACATACATACTCACAGGAAGAGAAAAAGGGAAATATATATATATATATATATATATAGTTGCTTCCAAAATCCACCTCCTCAGTTTGGGATAATTCGTTGTCTATTCTGGTATTCCACAGATGCAGGGTACATCAAGTTGATTGTGGAGCTTTAATCTGCTGCTCCAGATTCTGCTCGGAGAGATTTCCCTTTCTCTTCTTAGTTCGCACATCTCCTGGGGCTCAGCTTTGAATTTGGCCCCGCCTCTGCTTGTAGGTCGCCAGCGTGCATCTGTTCTTCGCTCAGACAGGACGGGGTTAAAGGAGCAGCTGATTTGAGGGCTCTGGGTCACTCAGGCCTGGGGGAGGGAGGGGTACGGAGTGCGGGGCGAGCCTGCAGCAGCAGAGGCCGGCGTGACGTTGCACCAGCCTGAGGCATGCCGTGCGTTCTCCCGGGGAAGTTGTCCCTGGATACTGGAACGCTGGCAGTGGTGGGCTGCACAGGCTCCCAGGAAGGGAGGTGTGGATAGTGACCTGTGCTCGCACACAGGCTTCTTGGTGGCTGCAGCAGCAGCGTTAGCATCACATGCCCGCCTCTGGGGTCTGCACTGATAGCCGCGTCTCGCGCCCATCTCTGGAGCTCCTTTAAGCAGCGCTCTTAATCCCCTCTCCTCGTGCACCAGGAAACAAAGAGTCAAGAAAAGGTTTCTTGCCTCTTCAGCAGGTCCAGACTTTTTCCCAGACTCCCTGCCAGCTAGCCGTGACGCACTAGGCCCCTTTAGGCTGTGTTCACGCTGCCAACCCCAGTCCTCTTCCTGGGGTCTGATCTCCGAAGCCTAAGCCTCAGCTCCCAGGCCCCGCCCGCCCTGGCGGGTGAGCAGACAAGCCTCTCGGGCTGGTGAGTGCTATTCCGCAGTGATCCTCTGTGCGTGAATCTGTCCGCTTTGCCCTCCGCATCCCTGTTACTGCGCTCTCCTCTGCGGCTCCGAAGCTTCCCCCCTCTGCCACCCACAGTCTCCACCCACCAAGGACCTTCCTAGTGTGTGGAAACCTTTCCTCCTTCACAGCTCCCTCCCCGAGGCGCAGGTCCTGTCCCTATTCTTTTGTCCCTGTTTTTTCTTTTGCCCTACCCAGGTACGCGGGGGAGTTTCTTGCCTTTTAGGAGGTCTGAGGTCTTCTGCCAGCGTTCAGTAAGTGTTCTGTAGGAGTCGTTCCACATGTAGATGTATTTCTGATGTATTTGTGGGGAGGAAGGTGATCTCTGTGTCTTACTCTTCCACCATCTTGAAGCTCCCTTATCTTTTTTTTTTTTTTTTTTTTTTTGAGTGGAGGGAAAACTTGAAGCGCTCGCAAACCAATCTAACATATATAAGTTTGCTAAAATCCTACAACTGGCCTTAGGTAAGGAATCACTCAGTGGTGATAGTAGATGAAAGTAATCTACTAGTTATAAGTATTCAGCATTCTATGGACACCAATTCATATGTTTTTTCAAAGAAAATGAGGTTTATTGGTCAATCAAGGAGTAAGTTAAGCAGAGGCCAGCTAAGAGCCTCTACTGTATGTTCTGTTTCTGTTGATAATCCCAGGAGAGCTCTTAAAGTACATTAAGAATATGCAGTTAATAATACTTAAATTGCTTCTGTCAACAACAAAGCCAGAGCTGAATTCTCTGATGAGGCTTTAGGTGCTGATACTTTGTATTGTTGCTTGTGGAGGTCCTCATTTTTAAGATATCAGAGGCTTAATGCATGTGTTTGTTGAGTGGGGGAATTTATTTCTCCAGAGACAGGATACAGGTTTGCTTTGGGGCAGGACCAGTTTCTCAAAACAAAACAAAACAAATGTAGAACATAGTTTTTTGAATCTGCCCATGCACTTTGGAAAGTTCTAGCATATGACCCCAGAATTCTGAGCCACAAAGAAGAAGAGATATTTTCATTTGAAAAAAATGCCTATATGACTCATTTTGACTCTACTCAACTCTGCATGATGCTTCTGGAGTCTAGAATGTCTGCTTCTGAATAGCAGGAGTTTCATTCTAAGGAAGGATGATCCTACCAGGATAAAACTGAAATTGTGCTTAGGTCAACCACAGAGTGATTCATGTCCAAACGGTAGAAAATCATCCTCCACCATATTATCAGTCATACTTTACATGGTAGTAAATATTTAGAGTTCATTCACCGTCTGATAGGTATTACACAGTCCAGTATTGGATTTGAAATCTTAAGCACATGTATGAAATTTTATCTGCATCTGACACATGCTGATACACTTAACTTTTAACACTGGTTTTGGGATCTGTTCTGACCATTCCTGCTTTTATTCTTTGGGGTCTTTTGTTTGTATCATTTATATTCTTCTTTTTGAAAAATGCACATGAATAATGTAACTAATGCTTCTCATGCATCTCTTTTGCTTCTGCAGGAGGAATTTTTGAAACTATGGAAAATGAACCTGTTAATGTTGAAGAATTAGCGTTCAAGTTTGCAGTCACCAGCATTAACAGAAATCGAACCCTGATGCCTAACACCACATTAACCTATGACATTCAGAGAATTAACCTTTTTGATAGTTTTGAAGCCTCACGGAGAGGTAACTATTTTCACACTTTTAAAAGCTTCTTTGGGTGATATGTCTGCTCTACAAGTCAACTTCTTTTTGCTACCTGCTCTTTTTCAAAGTGGACATCTCTGTGCAAATGGGTTTGCAGGAACTTTTGGTGCAAGATGTCACTGTCCAGTACAATCTGAACCATCCTAATGGATGTTGCCTAGCTCTGTTTTCTGGGCCTTTCTGATTAGCTTAGCCTTCAGTGCCCTCCACTCTATGATTAACTGGTTCAGCTGAGAATGGAAAATGTCAAGCTTGATCTGTTTTTTCCTTCCTGAGGCTGAGACACCACCATGAAATTGTACAGTGCAGTCAAATAAAACTTTGTGGAAGGTCATACGCAATTAGCATGTGGAAATGCCCACAACACACAGAATTCACAACCTGAATCTTAACAGGTTGTGAGCTACTGGGTTTACCTACCATCCTCTCAAATAATTTTCTAACCCCTTTCCACAGATCATAGAAATGTGAAGATTATAAACATTGAATCATTATGTTTTACACCTGAAATGTTATAATGTTATGTGTTGATTATATGTCAATTTTAAAAAAGGAAAAAATTAAGAAAAAAATTAATGGAACGGTACAAGCAATCAAGCAAGCAAGGGACTTGGGGTCAAAGAAAATTAAACCTAGGAGAACAATCTCTGCATTTGATTCCCTTTTGCATCTGAAAAGAAGACAAGTTCCTAAAAAGTAATCTAATTTGTACGCAGGCTGCAAGGTTTGTCTCATGGAAAGAGTCATTGGAAGGGTGGGGCTTGTTTGCACATCCTTCAGACACTTCCAAGATGACTCTTTGAAGCCACATTTGACATGCTTGAAGGCTGGCCTCTAACTAGGGAGTTGTTGGACCTCCATACAGGAGTTTGTGTGGGTACATCACCCCAGAATAGGAGAGGCTCTTTCTCTCCTAGAGGAAAGCTTTGCCCATCAAACACACACAAGTAAATGGAATACAATGAATGCCATGTTCATGCTGATTTCTAAGTAACTAAATATTGATTGTTTCCACATAGAATTAACCCAGTTTGGATTGCACCTAGTAGACTCTTCTGCAAGATTCTTAGTGTCCCTTAAAAAAAAAAAATGTGAAACTTGTTCTCCTGGGAGCACAGATGAAAATGGAATAGTATAATGATTTTTTTTTTTTTTTTTACTGTATGGCATGATCTTAGTATAAGAATATTTTATTTTCAAAGATGGATGGAGTTGTAGGTACTATACAGGTCAGAGTTGTCTATGACAAATAATAAAATGCTATGTTTATACAGCACTTTAAAGTTTACAAGGCATCTTTACATAAATTATCTCTATGTGTTAGATCTCTATCTTCCTCTCTCCATATCTCCCTTTCTGTGTCTCTGTCTGTTTCTGTTTCTCTCTCTCTGTTTCTCTCTGTCTCTCTCTCTCTCTCTCTGTCTCTCTCTCTCACACACACACTCACACAAAACATTGTTGAATAAATACCCCAGAAAGCCAACCACATTTAAAATCCAAAGCGTTTTTGTGACCTGAAGTACCTGCCATACTTGTAAATTAAACACTCCCAAAACTTCTTAAAACTGGTAATTTGCTGGCAAACAGAATTCAAAAGGATTGCTTTTTTGTCAAGTAATATTAGCATCCCAGAGCTAAATATTAGCAGGAATCTCAATCCACCGCCTACTCTAGATGAAGTAATAGTTCATATACTTTCATGCCCTCATTTTTTCTTGCTAACCAATGAAAGCACATCCAGAAAATGAGCTTCTGAGGACAGTTTTCACTTCTAGCACTTAATACAGAAAGTTATGTCTTCATACCTCATGTGATAATTCAGTACCGAAGAGCACAGTGTCAGAAAGTTCCTTGTGAACATTTGCTGTCCCACAGATATTTGAAATATGGCTCTCAAATATTACTTATTAATTTTTCTCTCTAAATCAAGTCAGATAATTTTGACAAAGCCATATAATTTTTATACTTATTTTTATTTGTATGATGGCATTATGATAAAAATTGACAATTTCATTTAAATATTTTGTTATTATTTAATTCAAATATTCAACTATTGTTTCTTGGCAGTTCCAAATCCCTTTAAACTACAATTAAAATGTAAATTTGAAATGTTTTTACATTTATATTTAATGCCAGCATAAATTTATGCCAGCATAAAATGAGTAGGCACTATTTTACATTGTCATAGAAGATAATCTGTCCCAACATTTCTGGAAGGAAATTTGGTTTATATATATCAAGTGACTTAAAAATATCAATACCCTTTAATTACAGATTTCAATCTACTCAAAGAAAATAATGTAAAATTTAGAGAAAAATATAAGAACTAAGATAAGTGCTTATAATATTACTTATAATAACCAAAAATTAGGAGCAGCTTAAATATTCAGTATCATAGGACTAGTTAAATAAGTAATGACATACTCATGGATTAGGCTATTCTATGACACTAAAAATATACTTTTGCAGAATTTGTGATGACTTAGGGGAAAGGGTGTGCTTTTAGCATTAAACTTAGTGTTAAATACAGAAAGCAATGTATCAAACTGTATCTATATCATGTTCAATTTTTTAATAAATTAGAACACCAAACTATGAATAGATATCCCAGTGATGGAATTTCAGAGCCTTTTTTCTTCCTTATACTTTTCAATATTCTAAATTATCTCAATGTGTGTATATAATCTTATAATGCAAAAAATAAATAAATGTTAAAAATTAATTTTTGTGTACATGTTGGCTGATATTGAAATAGAAAGAAGCCTGTCCTTGAGCTGGGTCCCTGGGCTTTGGTCAGTTCTGCCACTGTCCAGTGGCCCTGACTCACTTCATTGCCTATGACATTAGTGGGTTGGAGAAAATGTCTTCTAAGATCCCTTTAAGCTATGCTAATCTATTATTCTATAATTAATTAGCTATCAGTATCACTTAACATTCTTTAGCAATTTTTCAATATCCTGGACCTCCTTTCTGAGTTTTGGGAAGGACTGGAACTAAAGTACTCTGCAGCCACCCAGAGAGTCTTCTGAATTCTCTGACCCATTAATACCTTCATTGCCACATTGCCAGATGACAGAACTTGATTTTTATGACATTCACTTGGCAAATGGCTTAAAGAATAGCTCTGAGTGCTTCTGGGTAACACCACACCAAGCAAGAGATTTAGACTCCATCTGATTAAAAGTAATGAAATGAGGACTTCCCCGGCAGTCCAGTGGTTAAGACTCAATGCTTCCAATGCAGGGGCTGGGGGTTCGATCCCTAGTTGGGGAACTAAGATCCCACATGCCGCGTGGCATGACCAAATTAAAAAGAAAAAAAAAAGTAATGAAGTGAGACCAACAGCTCATTTTTGTTTGCAGAAAATTGGCCTTGTGATGTGTTGCTAATCATTTCTCCATTTACATCTCTAATATTTAGTATCTCAGGAATATTGGAAGCTGGATGAAGCATATTTCCTCAGCATACAGATGGAGAGTGGATAATAGTTTCCAATAGCGAAAATAAGGAGGAACCATGAAAGGGAAGATTAAATTCACAGAACTCTCTCTTTCTCTCCCCTCTTCCCTGCTTTCCCTCTCCACCCCCTCCTTGTCTGTGGACATCAGCATGTGACCAGCTGGCTCTTGGTGTGGCTGCTCTCTTTGGCCCTTCCCATAGCTCCTCTGTCAGTGCTGTGCAGTCTATTTGCAATGCTCTCGAAGTTCCACATGTACAGACTCGCTGGAAACACCCTTCAGTGGACAACAAAGACCTGTTTTACGTCAACCTCTACCCAGATTATGCAGCTATCAGCAGAGCGGTCCTGGATCTGGTCCTCTACTACAACTGGAAAACAGTGACTGTGGTGTATGAAGACAGCACAGGTATGGGACTCACACAAGCCCTCACATGGCCATGTCTGGTCTGGAAAAAGGGAACCAGAATTTGCTACAGGTCTTGACTCATCAGGCAGAGTTCATGAACATGTTATTTTATATGAAGCTAATTGAGTTTTCTAATTGGGAAATGCCATGTGTAGCTAATTCCTTTTCCTTTTGGTGAGTTGACCCTTTCTGATGACCCATTCATCATCAAACTTAAGGCACTTTTATAAAAGAAATATCACCTTATTAATATATGTTGTAATCCAATCTGAATATTAAAGATGTAATTTAATGTATCCAACTCTGTTAAGACTGACCACGACTCCATTCTTAAATAATGCAGAGAAAGTTTGAAATTGACCATGAAGTATGATTCCAATTCAATAAGTAGCTGCATTAATGCCTTGAAAAGTTTCTAAAGTACATACACAGAGGAATAATGTTAGAGGTTGTATCAATAAAATCTGACCATTTCATGCGAAAAGGACTATGAACCCCAGTAATGAGCCCTTAGTGAAGCTTGCTTTGTTCTGTCTGCTTATTTTAGGATGCAGGACAGACATGGGGTGCTCAGCGCCTCACTAGACATTTCTCTGACTCTCTCCCATTTGAAGTTTCTCTCACTGGCGCCTTCCCCCTTTGCCTCCTGTTTACATTTTGAGGTTTGTTGGAGTTCCAGATCCCTTTTATTCAGTTAAATTCTTCCAGTGACTCTTCATTGTCCACATAGGAAAGTCCAATTCTAATTTAAAGCTCTTCACCATCTAATCATTTTCATCTCCATTAACCCAGGCACCAGCTGCTCTACATCCCTGTACTGTTACATCACTTCTTAAATACCCCCAAGTCCATCCCTACTCTTTCTTTCTGAGGCTGGCCCCTAACTTTGGATAATCCTCCACATAACCCCCAAGGTGATAAGCTCCCTCATTCTCCATGATCACACCCAAATATCATTTCTTTTTAAAGCTCACTGAGACGACATTAGGAATTAGTAGCAGGGTGTAAATATAAGCATTATATCACATGCTTCAATTATCTGCTTAAATGTTTTTGAGACTAGGAATTCCAAAAAGTTGGAATTTTATCTTTTTATTTTTATAATCTGCTACCTAACATAGTACTGTTTACTTTCTGAATATTTTTTCTTCAAGAATTGAAATTAGCTCCTTTCCTTAATCTACACATTTGGTAAAAAGACTAATAAAATTATCAGTGAAAATTAACAAAGCAAAGCACTTTTGAACTTTTTTAATAGTATTTCATTTTTTTCACTCATTTCCACCAAGCACTAGCATTTACTGTTCCTCAGAGGATGAATAGTGAGCCTCCTCTATTTGGCACTAAATCCTGCTTCCATTTTAAACTGTCAGGTAAAAGTGACTATTGTGATTGGAATTATACATTTATGTATTTTCTTATATCTCATCTCATTTGAGAAAGAAGTGAAGGTAGGTGATTGTATATATAATTTATAAATATTATATTCAAAACAGTCCTACTGGGAAGGATAGTCGTATTTTTAGAGCTGCACTTGCTTGCTGTGAAGGAAGAAAATATATTATCAAAGGAACTCCATAAGTATATTTAAAGAGCCTTAAAATATAGATATTATATATAGGTATGGTAAGGCCTTCCATGTTGTCTACCTTTGTAAATAGAGAATTCCACGAGTTAATAAAATAATACTATTTCTCATTATGTAGTACACTCTATAGCATAATTTTCTCTCACTATTTCTACCAGTTCCAGCAATGCCAGGCCATCTAAAAGGAAAACAAATCAATGAATAATATTGAGGCATCTGGATTTAATTTAAGAAAGAGTTCAACTAAAGGTGTGAGCATAATTGTATTTAGAAAAATTATAATTTGCAAAAGGATAACATAAAAGTTGATGTCCTAACCACCCTTTTGATTTTAAGTGAGTACCCATAGTTGACAGCCATTTTGCATAAGAGGAAATTCAAACTATCATTTCTATTACCTTTTACAAGAAACTGAAATCTCCTTTCATCCTTGTTAAGTTCACCTGAACTCAGTTGCTCAATATATACTTGCTGAAATTGACAATCCAAATGAGTCTGTATTTTGCCCATTAAGTTAGAGACGATTCATGTTAAAATGATTTTACTCCCAAAGACATTAAAAATGTAAATGAATAATCAATTGAGCCATGAAATTGGAACCCAGAGAGTAAACAGGTCAACTGAGATCAATAGAAGAAGACATCTTTTGACTATGAGTGGGTTTAATACTGCTTGACTCAGGGTTTTGGTTGCAGTAATTATCAAGTCATAAAAAGAAAACTTACTAAACCTGAAGGAAAAAAAAGGACTTAGGTGTGCTCAGCACCTGCTCTTACACCAGAATTAACTACCCATTAAAGAGCACTTTACTGGGATTTGTTTAGGAGTTTGTGAAATAACCTGAAGCCAGCGCAGATGTCTAAGGGACCAAATGGTCCTTGACTCCCATTGAAGTCAAGGGGAGCACTGTGCATGTCTCTAAGGACAAAATCCAAATCACTAAATACTAGCAGGCAGAATTCTGTCCTCTGGAAGAGCAAATGTAGAAAGACCCTAGAGAACTGTCGGAGGGAGTTTTTTTTGTTGTTGTTTGTTTGTTATTTTTGTTTGTTCGTTTTTGCCGTACGCGGGCCTCTCACTGTTGTGGCCTCTCCCGTCGCGGAGCACAGGCTCCGGACGCGCAGGCTCAGCGGCCATGGCTCACAGGCCAAGCCGCTCCGCGGTATGTGGGATCTTCCCGTACCGGGGCACGAACCCGTGTCCCCTGCATCAGCAGGCGGACTCTCAACCACTGCGCCACCAGAGAAGACCCCGGAGGGAGTTTTGCCTCACAGCTCTCTCTCTGGTGCCTGGATATTCTTCCCATCAGTCATCTACTTCTCTCTGACTCCCTCATTCAGAGGTGACCCTAGGCAATGCGAAATCACTGCTCGTTGTTCATCCCCTCTGCTTCTTTAGACCCCTGGTGGAAGCCTGGCTTCTATCCCTTCACACTCTTCAAAAAGAGCTGAGAAGCTGAGCACCAAATGCAGTGTGGAGAATATTCAACAGTTTCTGCTTTCTCAAGGCTAATCTTAGTGAAATGTAGCCATAGCTGATTTTGTAGGGCAGGGACCAGGAAGCTTTTCTCTCAAAAGGGTTACATACTATATAGCTTAAGCTTCATGTGCCATAGTGTCTTGATCACAACTATCCCACTCTGCTGAGGTAGCAAGAACACAGCCACAGGCAAAATATAAATGAACAGGTATGTTGTGTTCCAATAAACCTTTATTTACAACAAACAAGGAAGCCAGTGTGACTGGATCAGACTGAGAGGGGAAGGGTGGTGGGGTCAGAGAGGAGGGTCTTCATGATCATGGAGGGCTTTGTAGATTATTGGAAGAGCTTTTGTTCCTCATGAAATGGGAAGACATTGGAGAGTTTTCAGAAGAGGAGTGACATGATCAGATTTATACCATAAAAAGATCACTCTGGCCCTTGTATTAATAAAATGTCATAGAGAGGGAAGCATAAAATTGGAGGCTACTAGAGAAATCAAGGCAAGAGATGAGGTGATAGCAACAGAGGAGTAAGAAATGGTCAGATTCTGGAAATATTTTGATGTTGAGCTGGAATAATTCTCTGAGGGGTGGAGGCTGAGTGAGAAAAATAGAGGAGTCAAAGATGACCCTAAGCTTTTTGGCCTGAGCCAAAAGATGGAGTTGCCATTGCCTGAGATGGGGAAACGGATAAATGGACATAGTTTGGAGAAATAAGGCTATCAGGAGTTCAGTCATGAATATGTTAAGTTTGATTTTGCAATGTCTACTAGACATCCAAAAAGAGGCAATGAGTAGGCAGTTAATATATGACTCTAGAGTTCAGGAATGTGGTGTAGGCTGGGGATACAAAATTGAGGGTCCTGGGCTTCCCTGGTGGCGCAGTGCTTGAGAGTCCGCCTGCCGATGCAGGGGACACGGATTCGTGCCCCGGTCCGGGAAGATCCCACATGCCGCGGAGCAGCTGGGCCCGTGAGCCATGGCCGCTGAGCCTGCGCGTCCGGAGCCTGTGCTCCGCAATGGGAGAGGCCACAACAGTGAGAGGCCCGCGTACTGCAAAAAAAAAAACAAAAAAAAAAAACAAAAAAAAAAAATAAAATTGAGGGTCCTCAGCATATACATGGGACTAGATGAGGCCATCAGAGAAGTGAGCTGCAGCCAGATGTGTTCATAACACATAGTACTTAAGAGGGATTTTTTCATCCATGGTTGCCTTAAATCATTTTTCTCAATTCACCAGAGCCATGAGATTTATAAAATGCAACCTGCCATAAAGAACTATTATCTGTCACTTACTTAAAACATAGTCTCAAAGCTTTACAATGAGGATTCATTTGAGATAAGATTAATATACATAAAAATGTCAGTGATTGAAAGAAACATTAAATCCAGAAAGAAAACCCAAGAAAAATGACAACCACAAAAATCACAATAACTAAATTCTTGAAGTGCTGACTGATTGCCATGCATTGTTATAGTTATTTTATATAATTAACTCATTTAATATGCTCAACCACCCCGTAAATAAGTGCAATAGCTACTCTTTGGGCTATATTTAAATAGTGACTTAGATTTGTTATGCTTATTATATTTTCCTTCATTTCCCCATAGAAAATAGAAAGAATATATTGTTCGGAACCAAGAATCTTGACGAGCCCTAAAATTTAGACTTGAAGAAAATTAAACATTTTGACATAGGTGATTAAGCCAAAACGTAAACAATCAGTGCCAAGTAAAAGACTAAGTGAATCATTTCACCTTAGCAATCACAATTCACACCTCTGTGTTGTTATGATGACTCATGCTAGCCAAAACACTCTACCACATGCCCTCCCAAAATTCCACCTGAAATAGTTGGAGAATGGAAAGTCCTTGGCATTCAGCACCAGCAAGATAATATATTATAGTTCACTTTTTTCTGCGCTTACTCT